GGGTTTGAACCCACCAACTCTGGCATATGGCTCCAGCGCCCTACTCTTTTGAGCCACAGGCGCCGCCCAAAAAGTGAAATTGTATAAAGGAAATCTGGTAAGAAACAAAGTGATGATTTTGCTGACAAGGAAATTTCTGATAGTTTGTATTTCTTGGTAATCTGGCACCTCATACTGACACATTCTAACACACTGCCATCAAGTGTTGTGGCTCAAGCCTGTAGTCCCAGCACTTTGGGAGGCTCAGGTAGAAGATGGATTGCTAGAAGCCAGGAGTTCAAAACCAGCCTGAGCAACACAGTAAGACCCTGTCTCTGGAAAAAAAGAGAAAAATTAGCCAGGCAGAGTGACACTTGGCGGTAGTCCCAGCTACACAGTAAGCTGAGGCAGGCAAATGGCTTGAATCCCAGAGATAGAGATTTCAGTAAGCTCTGATGACACCACTCAGCTCTCTAGCCCAGGCAACAGAGTGAGACAGGCTCCATAAAAAAAAAAAAAAAAACAATACCCCCTGCACGCACTGCCTATTCACTGTAGAAACAGGATATTAATCTTAAAATTTTAAATCATTACTTATTGAGTTTACTTTTTATAAGCATTACAATTATGAATCAGGCACTCATTATTGCTTACCTATAACACTGATAAGCAAATCCTTATAACTTCAGGTTTGCAGAGGTAAATTCCATTTTCAAGGCCTCCCAGGCAACAGGTGATCTGAACCTAGGGTTTGAATTCCAGCAGCCTGACTCCAGGACTGTGCCATGACATCCCAGGACAGCTCTGCCCCCCCACCCCCGCCGACTAATCTGTGTGGTGCCCTCTCGCCAGCGCTTCCCACTGGGTCAACTCCTGCCTGCTTATCCCCCTCATGGGCTACATCCTTCATTTACTTGCATCCTGGAGAGCAAAGTCACTGTTGCTGTCCAAAATCAACTCCTCACCTTCATTTAGAAATTACCGTCCTTGGCTTCTTAGACACTCAGTTTTTATGCAATGCCATAGAGGATATACTGTGTACCAGGCAAGATTTTTAAGAGCATTATACTGAGATATTTACTACTCCTAATGACCCATAGATTATTCATTTTTACAGAAGATAAAACTGAGGCAGAGAGAAATTAATTATCTTCCCAAGAATCACACAGCTAGTAGAGGATGGGAACGTGAAAATGTTGCTGAACATTGTCTTGACAAATACGGGAACCATCGATGCTCTTTCACTGTCCTCTGGCTTATGCAGAGCCTCACTCTTCATGAAAAAATATTTGAAAAGGAGCCTCAGTAAGACGTGGGACCCTGGTACATCTGGGGAGAACCTCAAAAATCCTGGCTATGGGATGCCAGGCATGGTGGTTCACACCTGTAATCCCAGCATGTGGGAAGCCGAGGCAGGTGGGTTGCCCTGAGCTCACAGGTTCAAGAGCAGCCTGAGCAAGAGCAAGATGCTGTCTCTAAAAATAGCCAGACATTGTGGTGGGCACCTGTAGTCCCAGCTACTTGGGAGGCTGAGGCAAGGGAACCACTTGAGCCCAAGACTTGGAGGTTGCTGTGAGGTGTGATGCCATAGCACTCTACGGAGGGTGACAAAGTGAGACAGAGTCTCACAACAAACAAACAAACAACAACAACAACAACAAAACCCAAGCTATGGGATGTTTCCTCTTTTAGCCTGTAAATAAGACATGTCTTTTTCTTTAAGCTATGAAAGGAAAATCCTGGACCTGTATGTTTATCTAGTTACTCTAAAAATCTATCTGGTTGTATTTTAAGAGAGAGCTAAAAGGAGATTCTTCATCTCCTTTTCCTTTCTTTTTTTTTTTTTTTTTTTTCAGTTTTTAGGCAGGGCTGGGTTTGAACCCACCACCTCCAGTATATGGGGCCGGCGCCCTACTCCTTTAGAGCCACAGGTGCCGCCCTCCTTTTCCTTTTTTCATAATCACTCCTCTATCCATCCTGCTCCTGCTTTCACTGATTCACAAAGTTTATCCTGATCAAAGTCAATCAATGCTCACTCTGGCTTTGTTTCTTTCTCGGGGAAGCTTCCATAACTAACTACCCTTCATAGAAACTCAACTCCCAGCACTGTCTATCCCCATTCCTGCATTTTCTCCTGAGATATACCATTATCCAGTATAAATAATAAATGTTTTTTCCTACTTGTTTTATTTATTACCTGTCCCCCCACAGATAATAAATTAAGCTCCAATAGGAAGAAATTTGTATTATTTTGTGGTTGACACTGAGCACCCAGACCTGTGCCCAGCACATGGCAGGTCTTCAATAATATTTCTGAAATTAATGAGAGAACAAATTTTGCTGGAATGCCAAAACCTTTTCTGACAACTCCTCATTTCCTTCATGTCACATGCTGCCTCTGCTTGTCCCCCAATTTTAGTATTCTTGAGGTTCTCCTTCTATTCATTTTAAGATCCCCATGGTGAGGCTCTTTAGGGTTTTTGGTAGAATCATGAGATAATGTTTCTTTAGGAAACATACAAAACATAGGAAATGGATGTGTACCTTCTGCGAGCAGAAAGCAGATAGGCATGGGCTTTGGGTAACCAATGCAGATGACTCCAGACTCTTGCACTGTGCTGAGTGGTGTTTCTGGGTTTGCAGGATACCATGGCATCGGAGTCCACCATGAAGGCCCCCATTTGTCTAGTGGAAAACTTGAAAGAGCAGATGGTGGTGAATCCCAAAGCATTACAGATTCTGAAGAACATTTCTCAGCCTGTGGTGGTGGTGGCCATAGCGGGGCTATATCGTACAGGAAAATCCTATCTTATGAATCGTCTTGCAGGACACAGACAGGGTGAGTGTGGTCCTGGGGCAGGAGCTATTTCCTTGGCCCCAGGGATAACGCAAGCAGATCACACCTCCTCTAGGGTCATCTTAAAGAAGAGCGTGACTCTTCCCCATGAAGAAAACTTGTAATTATCCCCACCAAATTTACAATCTCAACCCCAAGGTGTCCACAGAACCTCACTCTTGTTCAGTAGTGAATAACTGTCCTAACCCTATCAAAGGATCTGCTCTTCTAGTCTCCATCCCATCCACTCTCACCTGCTCAGGAGCTCAGCTGCAGCAGGGGTTCCTTTTCTTTATCTTACACCACTTTTGCTCAAGGTACATGGTCACTGCAAATAGCACACAAATATAATTTAATACATCCTGTTTATAAAAATGGATGAGCAGGGAGGCACCTGTGGCTCAAAGGAGTAGGGCACTGGCCCCATATACCAGAGGTGGTGGGTTCAAACCTAGCTCTGGCCAAAAACTGTAAAAAAAAAAAAAAAAATGGATGAGCAGAAGAGCAGATAGTAGGATCCTTGTATATTTTGTGTGTTAATTGAGCTACTGTCCAATTTTTTGGCTCCATATCATACTAACCCCAAAGGCCAAAAATCAAACCCTCTCACACCTTCACTAGAGTCCCCCATTATCTTGGTAGTCAGGGCACTTCATCCACTCTCACTTCTTAAAAATTGTTCTTCCTTTAAAATTTACACAAGGGGAATTATATTTCATGTGTTCTTGGGTTTTCTGCTCCCTTTGGTCAGTAAGAAGTTTGTAAGGTTCCTCTACTTGTCATATACATCTGAAAGTTATTTATTTTTGCTACTGGATAGTATGTCATGGTTTGAGTATACATTTGCTATTTATGTACATTGGTATTATTTCCTATTTTGGTCATTAATGAATAAGGCAGTTGTGAATATTCTTGGATTTATCTCCTGATGCATGTGTATAAAAATTCCCTTGCGTACTATGCTCAGAAATGAAATTTCTGGGATCAGAGAGTATCTTCAACCCTTTTAGATAGCATTAAACAGCTTTTTGACTTTATATGCAATTTATGTACTTACAAGCAGTAATTGAGAATTCTACACATCCTACAGAAATTCAGTAACATTTTAGTAACTTTTGCAGATCCATACCTTATAGAGTTCAAGGTTATTTATTCCACTATAAGTAAGTTTATGCACCTTTTCACATATTTATTTTCCATTTGTATTTCAATTTTGTGACATATTTTTTTTTCCTACCAGGCTGTCTCTTTTTGTTCTCATTAACTTTTAAGACAATCTGCCTATGGTTCTGTTAGGTGATCCTGTCTTTAAAACCATGCAGCTATTTTTCCCCTCTAATGTCTCACTTCCTCTGTTAGTCAGCAGCTTAGCAGCAACTTCAGTCTGCTAAATAAGTGTAAGAAAGACAAAAAATTTGAGCAATTCCTAAGTGCGTGTGTATATGTGTGTGTGTAAAGATTGTATTGATGGTTCTTGCTGAGATTGAAGCAACACTTCCCTCCCCCACCCCACCCCACCCGCTTCCTAGCACTTACTTTTCTACAAATTTAACCACTGTAACCCCTGCACCCCCTGGTCTGCCTGCTGGCACTGTTTGCTGTTTCTTCCCTTCCCTTGCAGGCTTTTCTCTGGGCTCCACCGTGAGGTCTGAAACCAAAGGCATCTGGATGTGGTGTATGCCTCACCCCTCCAAGCCAAACCAGACTCTGGTCCTTCTGGACACTGAGGGCCTAGGCGATGTGGAAAAGGTAAGGCAGAGAATCTTCTCTGCTCATGATGGTTCTCCTTTCTTTTTCTCTTAGAGTTTTAAACCTGCTTCTTAAATGTTGAAGATTGGCTCGGCGCCTGTAGCTCAAGTGGCTAGAACATCAGCCACATACACTGGAGCTGGCGGGTTTGAATCCAGCCCAGGCTGCCAAACAACTACACCCAAAAAATAGCTGGGCGTTGTGGTGGGCGCCTGTAGTCCCAGCTACTCGGGAGGCTGAGGCAAGAGAATCACTTAAAGCCCAAGAGTTTGAGGTTGCTGTGAGCTGTGATACCACGGCACTCTACCCAGGGTGACAGCTTCAGACTCTGTCTCAAAAAAATAATAATGATGATAAATAAATGAATAAATAAATAAATATTGAAGATCATGTTCTGGTTTCAAAAATCCTTATCGCATATGTGTGTGTATTTAATTTAATTTAATAGATATAGAGGTTAAATTGTTTTTACTACATGTTGGAATTGTATTGTGGAAAAGTCAATGGGAGCTTTTTGTATCCATCACTGAGTAGCTCTCAACCCAACAGGTGATTTTTTTATCCGTTATTCCCTCCTACTCTCCGCCTTGTGAGTCCCCAGGATTTATCAAGTCAATCTGTCATGCATGCCCATTGCTCAGCTCCCACTGAGGAGTGAGAACATGTGGTATTTGGTCTTTCCGTTCCTGGGTTACTTCCCTCAGGATCACGGCCTCTGGTTCCATCCAAATTGCTGCAAAACATACTGTTTAAGTCTTTGTAGTAGTATCCCCTGCTGTATCTGTGTATATGTGTGTGTGTGTTTATAACACTTTTTTACCCACATGTCCATTGATGGACACTTTGCTGATCCCATGTACATGCAATTGTGAATTGTGCTGTGATAAATGAATATAAATGTCTTTTTTATAAAATGATTTCTTTCCTTTGGGTAGATCCCCAGTAATGGTGCATCTACTTTTACTTTTTTGAAAATGTCCCTGCTCTTTTCCATAGGGGTTGTACTAATTTATATTTTTCCCAACAGAGGATGAGAATTCTCTTTTCACTGCATTCTCGCCAACATCTGTTGTTTGTCAACTTTCTAATAACGGCCATTCGAAAGGAGTAAGGCAGCATCTCGTTGGGTTTTGATTTGCATTTCCCTGACGACTAGTAATCTTCAGCATTTTTTCATATGCTTGTCAGCCATTTGTTTATCTTCTTTTGAAAAATGTCTCTTCATGTCTTTTGTCTACTTTTTAATAGGATTATTTGTTTTTTCTTACTGATTTGCTTGAGTTCTTTATAGTTTCTGGATATTAGTCCTTTGTGAGAGGTATAGATTTCAAATATTTTCTCCCATCTCATCTCATAGGACTGTGTTGTTCAACCTTGTTTATCTCACGGCACACTTAAACCTATAATGAATCTTCATTGACACACTTAAATTATGTTGATCAAAAAAATAGAGCAAAGAAGCATACACTTACTGTGCTTTGAACTCCTTTTGTAAATAATTTAATTAATGATCTTTAAAATTTATATGGCATACCTAAGATCCTCTCGTGGCACACCAGATGAAGATCACTGCTACAGGATGTCTGTTATCTCTGTTCAATATTTTGTTTGCTGTGCAGAGCTTTTAAATTTAATTAAGCCCAATTTTTTTTTTTGGTTTTGTATCATTGGTTTCTAATGTCCTAGCCATAAATTCTTTACCTAGGCCAATGTCAAGGATAGTTGCTCCAGGTTTCCTTCTCATATTTTAATGGTTGCTTATCTTACATTTCAATCTTTAATTCACCTTGAGTTACTTTTTGTATATGGTGAAAGACAGGGAGGGAGTTTCATTCTTCTGCATCTTACTCAGCTACAGTACAGCTGAAGAGTGAATGAACAACCATATGAATGAATGAAGAGTAGTCTCCTAAATCTTTTTCTCAAACGTGCATTGTAGGGTGACCCTAAGAATGACTCGTGGATCTTTGCCCTGGCTGTGCTTCTGAGCAGCACCTTTGTCTACAACAGCATGCACATCATCAACCACCAGGCCCTGGAGCAGCTGCAGTATCCTTCCAGAATGTTCATTGAGTTTATCAGAATGGAAACTGACACTGGGTCTTCTTGGCTGGGACTTCACTGTCCTCACTGAGGAAGAATGGACACAGGGCTAAAGGCAATGTTTGTAAACTTTGTGTGTAGGGGCAGTGTGGAGGTTCTTGGGTAGGTTGCTTCTCATTCCTTAGCTAAGACTTCAGCTACGTGACTGAACTAACAGAGCTGATCAAGGCAAAATCCTCCCCAGGAATGGATGAAGCAGGGAGTGCCACTGACTTTGCAAGTTTTTTTCCAGACTTTGTTTGGACTGTATGGGATTTTTCTTTGGAGCTGAAGTTAAATGAAAGTGTCATCACAGAAGATGAGTACCTGGAGAACGCCTTGCAGCTGATTCCAGGTATCAGATGGTGGCCTGGGGAGGGGAAGTTTCAGTAGCAGGGTGGGATCAAATAAGTTCAGTCATTCAGCAGCTTACACCAATGTTTGCAGGAGACTGATGTGAGGCCCATGGAAGTGGTGATTGGTGATGAACAGCTGGCTGGGGTTTTAGTTAGTGGTCATTACTAGTTAAAATTTTCCAGAAGCTGGTATTTAAATTCACAGAGGAAATTTAGCACTTAATGTGCTTTCAAATTTGAGACCAGTCAGCACCATGAAAGAAACACTTCAGTGTTGCCATCAATGCTTTCATGTCTTAAGACTCACATATTTGTGTTCCTCATTATGTCTCAGTGTTCCTCTTACTCAATGTGTAAGAAACCACTTCATCTGATTATATGTTGGTAAACACAGAATCTTAAAAATCAAATGGCAAAATTTTGAAAATACATTTCTTTCAATATATTTTACTAGCCTGGCTAGTTAAATTCTCAGGGAAAAGGATATTTATATGCTAAATGATTCTGAAATAAAAACCACACTGATATGCTCTGGCAAGACTGTCAGATTTTTCATTTTACATTTCCACATCATCACCCTCTTTCTACAGCCTTATACAATCTGTTGTCAATCTATCATAAAGTTATTGCACAGATCATATTTAGTGGAGTCGCTAACTGATGACAATTGGAATAAATGTCAATTTTTTGTTCATTCATTTATTCATCCTTTCAACAAGCCTTTATTTAAAATATGATATAGACCACAGAATCCCTCTGGATGACAATGTCAAATCCAATATACTCTGCATAGAAAAGTGAGAAAAGTGAAGAGTTCTCCAAATTCCATTTAGATTAACTTTACTCTAGACTTTACTGCTAAATGATTCTCTAAACATATTTATGGTGTTTATAATTTTTGGCTCTGATTTTGATCCATTTTTCCTTACTGACATGGGTATCATCTGTCCTCTCATGAGATCATTTCCAACATCATCTTATCCTTTTAGAGCATTAGTTTGCTTTAAGGCTCAGATTCTATTTCTAACATGGGACTGTCATATCAGAAGATATTTATGACAAATTGTATGAGCAATCAATCACTCAAAACCATGTAATAAATAGTCTATCCTGGCCACCATACGAGGACCAAGGAAACTAACCATAAACTTTGAACTTATTGTGTACCTCTCTTTCCTCTCCAGAAGTACATTCTTGTTTCTTAACCTGTATAACAATGGGTTATCCATGGCTTGTGAGGATTAGAATCAAACTGCTTTGTGATTGGATAAAAGAAGATTTACACAGCAGGGAGCTGCACTGATGCAGTGATCCTTGGAACAGTCCTCAGCACTGGCCCTTGCCTACCGTTTGTCTCTTGACTAAGGACTCTTTTTATAATTCCACAGGCAACAACCCTAAAATCCACAATTCCAATATGGCTAGAGAGTGTATCAGGCGTTTCTTTCCCAAACGGAAGTGCTTTGTCTTTGACCGACCTACAAGTAACACAAAAGATTTACTTCATCTGGAAGAAGTGCCAGTATACCTACTAGAAAGGAATTTCCGAGTGAAATCTGGAAATTTCTGTTCTTACATCTTCACCCATGCCAAGACCAAAACTCTGACAGAGGGTATCACTGTCACTGGGAACCGTGAGTCTCTTTCTACCCACAGCTGGACTCTATCGTCCATTGTGTGAGATGAAGGTGGGATGCCCCTGGGGGTTGGTCAGTAATTTTGTTTACTTCTGAATAAGGACATGGAGAAGGAGATCTTTGTGCCACACATGCAACTGCTTATTTCTGTTCTTTTTTGATTTCTTTATTTTGTGAAGAAACTTTAATTTTAATTACATTTTTATTGTTCTTTTTTAAAATTTTCAGATTAATGCCAGGGTACAGAAATTTAGGTTACATTGTTTGCATTTGTCAGATCCAAGTTGTAGTTGAGCCCTTCATCCAGCAGGTGGGCCTTATACACCTATGTTGTACCCATTAGACGGTAGTTTACCACACTGCCTCCCTCCTTCCTTTTCCACCTACTTGAATTTAATTGTGTTTTTCTCTTGTGAGGGCATATAGTTGTTTGTCTGTTGGTTTCCTGTTAGTATTGAGTACTTTGGATATGTGCTTTTCCATTCTGGTGATACATTACTGAGGATGATGTTCTCCAGATCCTTCCAGGTAAATACAGGAGATGTAAACTCTCCACCTTTCTTTATGGCTGAATAGTATTCTGTACTATTCAGATACCACAGTTTATTTACTCATTCGTGAGCTGATAGGCATTAGGTTGTTTCCATATCTTAGTGGTTGTGAATTGAGGTGCAATAAACATTCTAGTGCAAATGTCCTTATGGTAAAATGACTTTTTTTCTTCTGGACAGATACCCTGTAATGGGATTGCAGGGTCAAATGGAAGGTCTACTTCTAGCTCTTTGAGGATTCTCAATGCATTTTTCCAAAAAGGCTGTATTAGTTTGCAGTCCCCCCAACGATGTATAAGTCTTCCCTTCTCTCCACACCCATGCCAGCATATGCAGCTTTGGGACTTTGTGATGTGGGCTATTCTCACTGGGGTTAGGTGATATCTTAGGTGGTTTTGATTTGTATTTCTCTGACGATTAGGGATGGTGAACATTTTTTCATGTGTCTGTTGGCCATTCATCTGTCTTCACGGGAGAAGGTTTTGTTCATGTCTCTTGCCCAATGATAAATGGGATGAATTCTTTGCTGTTTCCTTGATTACATTGAGTTCTCTGTAGATTCTGGTTATAATTCTTTTGTGAGATTCATAATAGGAAAATATCTTCTCCCATTCTGAAAGTTGTCTAAGTGCTTTAATCACTGTACCCTTAGCTGTGAAGAAGCTTTTTAGCTTGATCATGTCCTATTTATTTATTTTTGTTGTTGCTATGATTGCCAGTAGGGTCTTCTTCATAAAATTTTTTCCCAGGCCAAGATCCTCAAGAGATTTTCCCACACTTTCTTCTACAGGTTTATCATTTCTTCTCTTAGATTTAAATCTTTTATTTACCAGGAGTCATTTTTTGTAAGTGGTAAAAGGCACGGGTTCAGTTGTAGTCATTTGCATGTGCCTAACCATTTCTCCCAGGACCATTTATTAAACAGCGATTCTTTTATCAAATGCATGCTTTTGTTTGGTTTATAAGATCAGGTAGTGATATGAGGCTGGTTTCATCTCTAAGTATTCTGTTCTGTTCCATAGATGTGTGTCTGTATTTTTGTGCTATGCTGTTTTGATCACTATAGAACTAAAATCTGGTGAAGTGATGCCTCTAGATTTTTTTTATTTCTAAGAAGCTTGGTTCTTAGTTAAGTTTCCTTTTATGGATATTTATTGAGGCCTAAAATATCTCATGAAATTAATACGTGGGTGTTGTAAACACAAACTGCTGTCAGGAGAGAAGTCGGCTTGCCGAGGAGAAGTTCTCCAGGATGAATGTTTCTCAGTGAAGATATACAAGAGATTTTATAAATTTACATGAGTCCAAAAATGAATAGGAATGAAAAGGCTCATTGAGATTTTCAGAAACAAACTTAAATATCACTAAGTACAGGACTGGTTTCATGACATGAGACCTGTGCATTCACCCAGACCCCATGCTGAGATGACCCAAGCTTGTTTGAATACTCTATGTTGCAGTCTTCAAATTCTTTATGATATCTTTTATAAAGGGAGTTGAATTTTCCTTTGGGATTAAGACTCATAAATTATGTAATATACTTTCCTTATCTAATAAATTCATTTGTATTTTATTGAGCTGAGAATGTATTTTCTCTAGGAAACTTAAACATGTACATAGAACCTCCATAGTTGACCACGTCCCTGTATTGACCACCTCCTTAAGTTAACCTAATTTTCATAGACCAGACATGCACCACACTTACATATCAGTACAGTAGGCCTAATTTTTTGTGTTGACCACCTCTGTATGTTGACCAGTTTGTAACAGTCCTTGGGGTCATCAACTTACAGAGGTTCTCCTGTATTTTGCAGTGAGTAGTTTAATTTTCCAATGGGATAAATTCAAGAGCTATAAAAGAAAGAGCAAGTAGGAAAAGCAGTTGTGTTATTATAAACATCTGGATTCATAAAGCAAGATGAAAAAGGGAGAGCCGGGGGAGGAGGAAGAGAAAATATAAATAAAGTTTTTGAAATTTTTAGAATGTTGATTCTTAAAATTTGAAAAAAAGTAAGTAGAACTCTCTGTTTGTTTCCTAAATATGTGTCATTCAGGGCTGGGGATGATGGTGGTGACCTACGTGGATGCCATCAACAGTGGATCAGTGCCTTCTCTAGAAAATGCAGTGACAACGCTGGCCCAGCGTGAGAACTCAGCAGCTGTGCAGAGGGCAGCCGACCACTACAGCCAGCAGATGGCGCAGCGAGTGCGGCTCCCCACGGACACGCTCCAGGAGCTGCTGGACGTGCACGCGGCCTGTGAGAGGGAGGCCGTGGCCATCTTCGTGGAGCACTCCTTCAAGGACGACACACGGGAGTTCCACAAACAGCTCATGGTACTTTTAATATTTATCCTTCCTGATTCTGGCCCTTCTAAGTGATGCCTAAACTTGACATCTGTGACTCCATCACTCGTCTTTTTACCATAGTAGAAGGAACCTGAGTTCCTGCAAATGAAGGCCTCTGTGGGCTACAAATCACACTTTTTCTAAAAGATGGCACTATTTTTATTGCTTTAAAACAAATTGCCATAAGTTTAGCAAATTATTTATTTATTAAAGATGGAGTCTCACTCTGTTGCCTAGGCTAGCGTGCCCTGGTGTCAGCCTAAGCTCACACAGAAACTTCAAACTCTTTGGGCTCAAAAGATCTTCTTGCTGGGTAGCTCCTGTGGCTCCAAGCAGTAGGACACGGGCCCCATATGCCAGAGGTGGCAGGTTCAAACCCAGCTCCAGCCAAAAACAGATCTTCTTGCCTCAGCCACCTGGGTAGCTGGGACGGACTACAGGCATGAGCCACCAGGGTAGGCCAAGTTTAGAAATTTAAAACAACACACATTATTAGCTCACAGTTCTGTGGTTAGAAGTCCTGATCAGAGTGACTGGGTAGTCTGCTTAGTGTAGTACAAGCTGAAAACGGCGTGTCAGTGGGCGTGGATTTATGTAGAGGTGCTGGAGAAACACTCTCAGTGCTCCGGCCAGCAATGATGCATCAAACCATTGTGTTTCTAATCTCTCCAATTGCCTCTTCTGACACCAACTAGAGAAAACTGCTTTTAAAGGATTCACGTGGCCAGGCACAGTGGCTCACTTCTGTAATCCTCACACTCTGGGAGGCTGAGGCGGGAGGAGCCCTTGAGCTCATGAGTTTGGGACCAGCCTGAACAAGAGCAAAACCTCAACTCTACTAAAAATAGAAAAATTGGTTGAGACGGGGGTGTGGGGGATGGATTCCTGTAATCCCAGCTACTCAGGAGGCTGAGGCAGGAGAATCACTTGAACCCAGAAGTTTGTGCTTGCTGTCAACTAGGCTGATGCAACAGCACTTGAGCCTTGGTGAGAGAGTGAAGCTCTGTCCCAAATAAATAAATAAAATGCCCAATAAGGTCTCTATTCCTTAAATTCAACATGTGCTATGTAGCATAATCTAGTCACAGGATTCCATCCATCATATTCGCAGTCTCAGGAACTTTGCAGGGTGCAGATACCAATGCTAAGAAATCTGACGTGATATCTTGATTCTGCTCAACACAGGCACATTTACTAAAAGAGCCTTTCAGTCTGTCTGGGAGTGATCTAAAAGGGACAAAAGTCTCTTAATTCATAATGATGAAATCCAGCTACTGTAATTTACAAGTAAAAAAACAGCATGGCTCGGCACCCATAGCACAGTGGTTATGGCTGGTGGGTTCAAATCCAGCCTAGACCAGCTAAACAACAATGACAACTGCAACCAAAAAATAGCCGGGTGTTGTGGTGGGTGCCTGTGGTCCCAGCTACTTGAGGGGCTGAGACAAGAGAATCACTTAAGTCCTAGAGTTTGAGGTTGCTATGAGATGTGACACCACGGCACTCTACCGAGGATGACATAGCAAAAGAATTTTTTTCTTAAATCCTCACGTAGTCCAACCTCTATTGAAAGAATGCACAGATGGTTCATACTCTGTGCAGAATAGACTTAACTCCTTACTGGGGAATTAATTTGCCATGTATATATTTTTATCCATAGAGATCTATAATTTCCAAGGAAATTTTACTTACAGCAATAATTCAGCTTTCTATTACTCATATGTGGATTCTGAGTCCCTGAAAATCATAGTCTAGTTAAACAAACAATAGAGTTTATCTTGTTGCCTCATAATTTTACAGATATTGTGTGTAATTAAGAGGAATTCCAGAGGAATTAAGTGACTTTTCAGAAGTCATGCAGAGAGGTGATCAGAACTGGGATGGAAATGAGTCTTTTGCATCCCACATCCCAGTCCACTCTGAGACCATGAGACTGTCTCCTTTAAAAGGATCACACTTGGACCTTCCCTTCTAACAGCTTCTTTCTATTCCATTTCCCTACGTTTCCCTGGCAGGCAGCCATAGAGAAAAAGAAGGAAGAATTCATGCTGCAGAATGAAGAAGCATCTGTCAAATATTGCCAGGCTAAGCTTAAGCGTCTTTCAGAGCCCCTGCTGGAAAGCGTTTTGAGAGGAACTTTCTCTGTTCCTGGAGGACACAAGCTCTACTTAGAAGCAAAGAAAAAGGTTGAACAGGACTATGAGCTAGTGCCCAGGAAAGGAGTTAAGGTGAGGAATAGGGGCAGGGGAATGGACATCTGAGGATAGTAAGAGGGTCTTTGTTGCCCCTTCTGGAAGTCTAAGACCACAGCACCATTTGTGGAAAGAAAGCAGAACATGGAGATATCTTTACATTTTTAGGTTTTACATCCACAGTAATTTAAAAACTCCTAATGAAATCAGAAATATTTCTTCCCAAAGAGGATTTAGAATTAGGAATGCCTGGGAAACAATGGGGTAGGTTTTTGTGCTCAGTATGGAGGAGACATCATGAAAGAAACAACTTTGTCTTCAGGAAGATTATGATCTCACCTGACATTGATAACTTGATAGTTGATTCTGGTATGATTAGGTTACCATAGTGATTGCTGTGATGATGGTGGTGGCGAGCATCATGGCTCACACACAGGAACCATTCACTTTCTGTACAGGCACAGTTTTAATGGATTATCAGTTTAATTCTCATAATAACATAAATTGGTTATTACTGTCTTCCATATCAGGCAGTGAGAAACGTAATGCATGGAGAAGCTAGTAATGTGCCTGAGATGACGAAGCCAGCAGGTGGCAGAGCTGAGAGGGCTCACCTGTGTACTTGGCATCCGTTGGACATTCAGGACATTTTCTTTTGAGGAAACAGTGTAGTATACCAATGTACACGGCTACCAACAGTATCCAAGGGTTCCCTCTTCTACATATTCTTGCCAGTAATTGTTATCTTTTGATTTTTCTATAACGGTCCTGTAGTGGATGTGAGGTAATATCAAATTGTGGTTTTGATTTCCATTTCCCTGACACTTAGTGATGTTGAACATATTTTCACTTTGGTGACCCTTTACAGATCATTTTCTAAGCAATGCCTATTAAGGCTTTTTGTCCCTTTTTTAAAAATTTCAGATTAATATGAGGCATAAATGATTAGGTTACATTGTCCTTTTTTTTTAAATTGGGTTATATGTTTTCTGTTGTTATTGTTTGGTTTTTGGCTATTGTGCTGTATGAGATCCCAGTAGTGGTAGATATGTGGTATTAGGCTCTTATCGGATATATGTCTATAAGTACTTTTTCCCATTCTGTATGTTATCTTTTTATTTTGTTGATCATTTTCTTTGCTGTGCAGAACCTTTTAGTTTGACGACGTCTCACTTGTTTATATTTACACTTGTTTGTTGTGTTTTTGGTGTCTAACTCAAAAAATCATCACCAAGATAATGGCAAGGACATTTCCCCCTGTTTTTTGTTTCAGGAGTTTTAATATTTCTGGTTTTAAGTTTAAATTTGCATCCTTTTTTTTTTTTTTTGGCCGGGGCTGGGTTTGAACCCGCCACCTCCAGCATATGGGGCCAGCACCCTACTCCTTTAAGCCACAGGCACCGCCCATAAATTTGCATCCATTTTTAGTTCAGATTTGTGCATGATGTCAGATGAGGATCCAATTCATTGTTGTGGATATTCACTTTTCTCTGTACTGTTTATTGAAGACATTCTCTTTCCCACAGTGTGTTTTTTGGCAAGTTTGATGACAATTATTTGGTTTATTTCCTGGGTTTCTATTCTTTAGTACTGAGTTATGTGTCTGCTTTTATGCCAGTACCACATTACTTGATTAATATATCTTTATAATAGATTTTGAAATCAGGAAATATGTCGCTGGCTTCATTTTTGTTGCTCAAGATTAATATGGCTATTGGGATCTTTTATACATCCATACAAATTTTAAAACTTTTTCTTATTTTTGTGAAAAATGTCTTTGGAATTTTCATTGGGATTACATTAAACCTGTAGGTGGCTTTGGGTTGTATGGACATTTCAAACAACATTAATTCTGCCAATCTATGAACACTGAATATATCGCAATTTATTCTGTGTCTTTCTCAAGTTCTTTCATCAATACTTTATAGATTTCACTTTACAGCTCTTCCATCTCCTTGGTTAAATGTATGTGTAAGTCTTTTCTTCTTTTGGACATTACTGTGTATTTTTGTTCCTTTAATTTCTTTTTTGGATAGTTTCTTCTTAGTTTATAGAAATGCAACTATAGTTGTATGTTAACTTTTTATCCTTTGACTTTACTGAATTTATCTATTATTCCTTCAACTTTAATGAATTTATCTATTATTCTTAACAGCTATTGGTGGGCTTCTGGTTATGTTTCCAAAGGAAACAGAATCACTAGCTTGAAGAAATATCTGTATTTTCATGTTCATTGCAGCATTATTCACATTAACTATGCTATGAAAACAACCTAAGTGCATATATATCCGCAAATTGATAAATGAAGAAGATGCATATACAATATAATGAATTATTATTCCGTCTTCTGAAGAAGGAAGTCCTGCCACTTGTTACTATATGAATGAACCTGAAAACACAAATACTGCATGCATCACTTTTATGTGAAATTTAAAAGAAAAAAGTCAAAGTCATGTCAATAGAGAGGAGAATGTTGGTTTCCAGGGGCAGGGGGATGGGGTGAAATGGGAGATAAAGGCCAAAAGTCACAACCATTCATTTATAAGTCTGTTCTCAACACCTAATTTCTAGCATGGTGATGCTAATCAAAATTATGTATTATATACTGAAATTTGATAAGATAGTAGATCTCAAGTGTTCTCCCCACATACAAAAAGGAAACCGTATGGTGTCATGATGCATACATACATCAAAACATCATGTTGTATACCTTAAGTGCATACAAGTTTTGTTTGTCTATCATACCTCAGTAAAGGTTTGAAAAATCTCAGAGGCAGCCTGGAAAGCTTTCTGGCATCCAGGTGGGAACTCTCAGTTGAAGGACCAAGAGATGTTATGGTAGGCAAGACAGGGCCTCAAAGCATCCAGGCAAAAGAAAAAAAATGTGAATATTCCAAACAATGGAGGACCAGGGCTGGTAGCAGTGCAGTCATCCTGGCTGTGTGCACGCAAGGGTGGGTGGGGGAAGCTGGGAAGGGGGCTTCTGGGGAGGCTTCTCTTCTCTCAGGAAAGAGCTTAGGCCCGTTTTTGTGGCCACTGAAAGACTAAAACACTGTGGGATCCTCAGGTAAGATTTGCAGTTTGGTGGAACAATGCTATCCTTGTTAGAAAAGATCCTTGCTGCCTCACAGATCTTCCTCCTTCTTGGTTCCTCAGGCAAATGAGGTTCTCCAGAGCTTCCTGAATCAACAGGTGGTCACAGGGGAATCCATCCTGCAGTCAGACAAAGCCCTCACCGCTGGCGAGAAGGCCAGAGCAGGTGAGGGGCAGGGCTCAGCTCTCACAGGGGTGGATAGGTTCCTGCAGTGCCCTCTGCCTGATCAGACAGAAGGATTTTCCTGACACCAGGAGCTTTGTCCTGCTAGGGAACATGTGCTCTGCTAAATCTTACAGCAACACGGAGAGTTGGGGCTACAGATCCAATCAGTCAGTGCCTTTTCTTCACAGTCTGAAACACACTCTGCCTGACATGGCTGGTGGAGAATTCAGATATTTCCGATTGTCACCTCTCTGGGTTTTTTAAAGTCAGTTTGGTCTCTGAGCTCAGGAGGATAGAACTCTGGCCCGGCTGTAATTTTCTTTCCTCTGTAAAATGTTTGTAAACAGCGGAACGGGCCATGAAGGAGGCAGCTGAGCAGGAAATGTTGGTGCAAAGACAGAAACAGGAGGAGCTGGAGCAGAAGATGCAGGCTCAGGAGAGAAGCTTCCAAGAAAACATAGCCCAACTTAAAGAGAAGATGGAGAGGGAACAGGAAGACCTGATGAGAGAGCACGAAAGGACGCTGGAGCACAAGCTGCAGGTGAGTCTGGATGAAGCCTGACAATGCCTGAGGGGGAAACTGTGGTTCCCCAGGACAGGAAGGTCCACAATTTAAAGCACAGCCATAATTCACGAAGGAAACATGAAAGTATAGATTTCACTAAACTTCAAATACATCTGGAGATGTCTGTAAGGCTGCAGTCTCCATCACCTTCTGTAGCGTTTAGCCTTTGGAGAGCACACGGGACATCCCAGGGTGCTGGCTGCTGTGTGTGGCGACTGTAGGATGCTCTCACCATGCCCCAGTGAACAGGTTTAGTCTACAGGT